CTATGTGTGTGTGTGTGTGTGTGTGTGTGTGTGTGCGTGTGTGTGTGAGTGTGTGTGCGCGCGCATGCGCAGTCCAGCATTTTTATCGATTTTCGTGCAGCAAGAAACGCTGATAATGCCATTGAAGTCCAATTCACGCAGTGTATGATATTATATCTGACTCGACGATGCTATACATGAAGTGTACTGGGGGGAGGCCACCTCCTGGTGGGTGGCCCAGGACCGGGGCCTCTTGGGCTCACAGCTTGATCCAGCCCTGGTAATAGTATTGCTTTCCTTTCCAGGTTGTCTTTTCTCTTTTTGAACGACTTTGTTGTCCTGACCAGATTAAAACATACATTGAATAGAGATTTACTCAGGGTTTAGCAATGTTGCTGGCCTTGGCACGGCTTTACTTTTACAATTTTCGTCTACCAAGGCGTCCTTGACTAGTGAAATATTAAGCTCTCATTTTTGGCCCTCAAAATTCCAAATCTAAATAGACGGAGTGTTCGATTATCTAATCATAGGATAACATGTGCAGACCTCCTCACGTTCTCTCCCAAAGAATACATTTAAAGTAACAGAATGCTGTCAGAGAATCATTTGAACCAGGTCTATATATATATTTACTATGGCATTGTAGGTGAGCACCATGTATTCCGACCACATGACCCTCCACGATCGAAGACCCCCCCCCCTTTTTTCCCCCTGCCAGCCCTCAACCCCAGCCCGATCTGACAATGATTGACATTTTTAAATTTTAAATACATGTACTTAATTCCACGTCCTGATAATCATTCATCAGCAACTATGGTACAGAGAAGGAAGAGAAAGAGGTGTACCACAATGGCAACTCAGACCCCAGAGGTTTTGGTGAGTAAATTGGGTTTTTTAAAAACCTTGTCTACTAAATTAATTGCTCCTGGGACAATGTCGATAATTATATCTTTTTTAAATACTTATTGCTTGCGTAAACCCGTCGGGTTTTATTGCCAGGAGCGTTGCACGTGGTTCAATACTTTCGCACAGAGCACGTGTGTGTGTGTGTGTGTGTGTGTGTGTGTGTGTGTGTGTGTGTGTGTGTGTGTGTGTGTGTGCGCGCGCGCGCACGTGTTTGTTTGGTTGTGCTCGCTTTTACAGTTTGCTCCGCTTGTCAAGTCAGAGGCAAATTCATTCATTTGCGTGTTCACTCGCAAACTCATTTGATTTAGAATGCTGTGAAAAAATACTGCAGATATGACAGCCGTGGCGTCATCCGAAATGTGTCCATATCGGTGCTTTCCAGGATTTAGGTTTCTCCATCAGCACTTTTTCACGTCCCTTTACAATAACTACGTATACTACTGCTGTTGTTTTAGGTTCGTTCTCAGCAAGCTGTCGTGTTTTTTTTTGGTAGCAAATTTGTGGTGCTCCTTGAGTAAAATGTAAAGGATGCATACATTTAATATAACAGTATCGGTGCAGTCTATTGGAATATTAATACCAAGGATATGGTTCATTTTATGGATACTATGTGCATAGCTGACAATAGTAGCGTGACAGTTGCAGAAGTGGCAATAGAAGAAGCAGCAGCAGTAATAGTACCGTAAAAGTAGTATCAGCAGTAGAAGTAGTAGTGGTAGCAGCAGCAGTAGTAGCAGCAGCAGTAGTAGCAGCAGCAAAAATGGAAAGGTTACTGGCACTTTTAATCAAGGAAAGAAAGCACCCGAACCTCTAGGATTATAATAATTCATATAAACACTTAACTGTAACCTACAATGGGACCTGTGGTTCCTGCAGACAACCACACATCAATATATTCAACACCCGCACAGTCCCAGAGATTTTTTTTTTTGGAAGGACCATATCTTTTTTTTTCTTTTTTAGAAATGATTTTAAAAGAAAAGGACGTGCATTTCTTAAGACTGGGATTGTTTACACAAAGAGCGGTTTATATTACTTAAATATCACAACATGGCAGAATATGCCCCTTTGAACGAGAACAAAACAGAAACGACACGGAGAAACAAAATCTCATGATGTATACACATTAATTTATTTTTTAAAATCGTTTATTTTTGTCTCCAATTTTACAATGTTTAAAAAGAAAACAAAAACAAATTTTTAAAAACAAATTTAGTTACAATTTATACTGGTTTGTTACCGAAGTATTTAACTTTCAAATATGTAAAGTTTTACAAACGTGCAAGTGCACATTTAGAGTATATTAATCGTTTGATATCCATCACTGTGTCTGAATTTTGAAAGATGAAGTGGGCCAGTGGCGGCAAATCCCAAAATTACACCTGCCTTTGAAGTCATTATTAACTTTTCAACGTTTTTTGTGTGTTTTATTTTGTTTTCTTTAAAAATGACAGAATTCTTGTTCTTTTCTAGGTATCCAGCCATGTATCACAATAAAGAGTTTCATCGTGGAAACTGTTTTAGGCATCGCGTTTCTCCAAATACAGTGTTCTTTTTATACTGAAGACAAGGATAGAATACCAGACCTTTCATTGACAATCGTGCACAATAGATATTGAATGAAAACTACCTAGGAAGTCAAAATCTTAATTTAGATCCCATGAAAGGTTGTGCTGTCATGGAAGGTGGGGAAAGCTAATTTTGAGTAAGAAACAGGTATAATTGAAGCTTTTGCTATTACAAATAAAATGTATCCTCGAGTCTTCTGTGTTTGCTTGTCTAACACTGAGGTGTGAGTGAAAGCATTTCGAAGAATGTTTTCATGTATTGTGTGGTTCTGGTTGACAGCTTTTTTTTTTAAAGAAAGGAGGCCAAGCTTTCTCTAACCATAACATTTTACCTTTGGTGAAATAAATGATGAAGTTCATTTTGCTTTTTTTTTTCGTCTCGATAGGCCACATAGGCATTGTCGTCCCTGATGTGTACAAAGCCTGTGAAAGATTTGAAAAGCTTGGGGTGCCTTTCATCAAGAAACCTGATGGAGGTGAGACAAGTTTTGATCCACATGCTTGGTTCTTTTCTGCTCTGTCTAGGATATCGTGAGCCCAGTGCTCTCTATTTTGAGTAGACCCTAACACCAGTTCGAAGGCTTACAGGCTCACGGAATCTATATCGAATGCCGAAACCCCTTGCTTTACATGGACGTCTGCAAGGACACTGGGTCTAAAACTAATTACAGATTATGTTATTCACACACTTATATAGCATCTAGTGCAGAATAAACCCCAAAATCGTGTTTGGAGAGAGGTTTTTTTTCGAACAAAACAGCAACTTCCGTTTGATGCTGTCTTGTCAGTTGTAAAATATTACTAGTTTCGATTTTTGATAAATCTATGCTCTTCGTGATAACCATGGATTTGTTTTAAGGAAAACTTGCACTACCGAGAGATCTCACTAGCTTACTGAATATAGGTCTAGGTCTATACCCTTTTTGTTTTTTGTTTTTTTCATTTTGCCTCGTTTAATATTATATTTTCCTTTGTAATACCATTCAAATATACCCTTTTTGCTTTACTCGGGCAGGGGGAGGAATAATTCCCAATTCTCTTTTTGCGATTAAGGCTGTAAGTGGCCTAATGCTTGGTGTGCCCAAAGACTTGGACACAATGAAGCTATGATAAGATAGCTCTGAGCAAACGGTTCCGATTTCTGTGGAGATAGACAAAACGAAGAATTTCAGTGCTGAAATTCCATTGGCTATTTTGCAGTTCTTACAAGATAGCACTGAGCTAGAGCCAAGCTAAGTGGCGACACTTCAGAATGACACGAAATATCTCAGAAATAGAGGCATCAATCCGGATTATTTTCACTGTAAAACATAGCTTTTTTAAAAACCCACCTTTCTCACCGGGGTAAAATCTTGGCAGGATCTAAACATGGAGACACAATAAGATAGCACTCCAATTATACTTTTTAAAATCATATTTCGAGAGACAAGAACAACGTTTCTGTATAATGAACCGCATAATCAATTATACTGTCTTCTACTTGTCAGTTTAGAAACTTAGTAGCCTTATATCCTCGAGGTATGATGTGCGTGATAATTTCCCAATTGGTAATGTTCGAGGAAGATTGTGTTTTCCAGTACAAAGTTCTGCGATCAATATTTTGATGTCACTTTTCAGAATTCTTTAGTTTCAAACCTTTCTGTCTCTTTATTTCCGACTTTGATACAACTCTATACTTATTTTTATAAATTTCAGAGAGATGTCATTAATTTTTTTTGATTTTCTCTGTCCTTTTTTCAGGAAAAATGAAAGGTTTGGCTTTCATTCAGGATCCCGACGGCTACTGGATTGAGATTTTGAACCCCAAATTTTAATCTTGTTAAAGATGGACCCATACATTTACTAGAAAGGGAGTTGTCAACTGATGGACTCACCAGTATGAGAACAGTGGGCATTCTAAACATATGTGATGGAGCATTTAAGGATGTTTTTGCGTTACTGGACTCATACCATGTTGTGACAGACAAATGGAGAAATGTGAAAGAAACTCCCAAGTTAAGTTATATATCGGTAATGACTTTGCCAAACATTTCCTGTTGAAACAGTTTGTCGCTGTAATGTATAACACATCACTGTTAAAAAGAGTTTTCCGTAAAGGCAAAATGAAATATTATTGTAAATGTTGTGATCTTTATTTTTTTTTCGCACTGAGGTCGTTTCAGTTTTTTTTTCCCCTCAGAAAATTTCGAACACGGCAGTACAAAGTACAATACGGATCCAGCTTTTCCGTTCTAAAACAGACACACGAGTCTGCGTAAATTATTACATTTCTTCTCATCTTTCGAAAAAACAAATCAATAATGTTCTAACTCTTCAATAAACCTTACATGGTTGACAAAAAATGCTCCCGTGTAGTGTTAACATTTAAACATCAATATTGTAACTAAAATACAGACAAGCCATTTCGTGTTTCCTCTCTAGTCATGCGACATTGATATTTGAAATTAAATATTACGATACAAACATTACTGGATGCTTTGTGTCAACCTTTGGAAATGCTGCTGCTGTCTATGTTTCTGATGGTTAAAATCAACATTTGCAAAATATATATACGCATATATATCCTTAAAATCCATCTCTTATTATCCTGTCAATACAGAAAGCATAGAATAATAATAAAGATCGATGCAGCCTTTTTTCCGACCTGCAGTTGTTACCTGATGGTGCAAAGTACGATGTTTGTTTTTCAACACAGTTCATGAATTTAATTTCTTTTGACACCTTTTCCATTCTGCTCTGGGCACTACAGAAGTGTTGCCTTCACTACAAGGAGCAAAATAATTCTTCTTATAAGTGACACCAGAATAAGACCCTTGGCATTTATCACAAGAAGACAAGGATTACGGCAAGATGATTTTTTGTTTAAAACAATGTTTGAAAGATACAGGCATTAACATTTTTTCTATGTATGTTTATAATTACACAACGGCCTTTTCCTGTTTTCAGCAGTATTGTTAGGCGTACCACGTTTTCATAGACAAACTTCTTGAATGGACCAATAAGCTATAGATTGATGATAGGTTGATAGATCGATGATGTAAACATTGCGTTCACGGAGAAATACTTCACGCGCTTCAAACACGTTCTGTAGTTTGCTAGACATACACAAGGAACATGCAGAAACAACCTATTTAAGTACATATTCGTTTCTAGGACTAGATCTACTTCTGCCTATGGCGTACTAAGACATAATAAAGCGGCCCAGTTCTAAACTTACGGATACGAACAACAACTAATGCACAATCCCGTATGAGTAGGCCTACTTTAAAAAGTTCTTGTCATGTAGTCAACACTCAACACCCGGTAGATCCCCAAGGACATTAACTTTCGCCTGCTGAAAAAAAGTTAACACTGGGCTGTGCCTTGTCGTTCACTTTCAGACGAAAGTTAGCCTTTTGCTCCTTCTGATATTCCACCTGTTATTTTTACGGTTTGACGTTCCACGGGGTCTTTTGGTCCCTTTTGTCATCTTCGAGGAACTGTAGAGAGCAACGAGTTGATTAGTTTGGAATGGAAATGCGTCACGCATTGCAGCCGTGAAAGGTGTCAAAATGGGTACATATCTGCAAGGGGGTGCACGTCTCTCTCTCTCTCTCTCTCTCTCTCTCTCTCTCTCTCTCTCTCTCTCTCTCTCTCTCTGTGTCTCTCTGTCTGTCTGTCTGTCTCTCTCTTTCTCTGTCTCTCACTCAGTGTGCGCGCGTGTGTGTGTGTGGGTGTGTGTGTGTGTGTGTAAGTGCGCGCGCGCGCGCGTGTGTGTGTGTATATGTGTGTGTGTGTATATGTGTGTGTGTGTATATATGTGTGTGTGGAAGAGAGAGAAAGAGAGAGAGAGAGAGAGAGAGAGAGAGAGAGAGAGAGAGAGAGAGAGAGAGAGAGAGAGAGAGAGAGCGAAAGAGAAAGAGAGAGAATCAGAGATAACAATTATATATATATTATATAATATTCCTTTTTTCCGTAGGTCCTTCCTTTAAGTTTACCTTTAATTTCTCTTGAGGGATTTTAAAAAAAAGCAACCTTGCTCACACCCGCAATTAGCCACGTTTCTTCCCTTTGCCAAATTCTCCATCTTGACATCGAACAAACACCCACCTTCTCTACAAACTGGTCCAGACAGGCCATCCTGATTTTGTCTGGCGTGGCAGGTGTGTCCAGCCGGAAATGACCTGTGTGTCCGGCATGTCTTCGTGCCGCGGAGATGGCCGCTTTGATAGCCATAAGTACTGAGGTAGCCAGACACAGCGGCGGCTCTCCCACTCCCTGTTGGTTGAGGAAAAACTCACGATATCTATCTATCTATCTATCTATCTATCTATCTATCTATCTATCTATCTATCTATCTGACTGACTGTCTGTCTGTCTGTCTGTCTGTCTGTCTGTCTGTCTGTCTGTCTGTCTGTCTGTCTGTCTGTCAACCACCTACATTTTTTGTGACCTCTGTACAACCTATCCCACTTGTAATGTTTGCTATTTCTGCTCAAGTAAAGTCGGCTCAGAGGTTAAGTGGGATCTATATGAAAATGTTGATCTCTAGAAAAGTGGCACTTATTGCCCATATCGAAGTTCATAATCTTAACTTATCTAGCTCTAATTTGTTTTCACTTTCAGCGTTTATTTCTTTGCTTTCTAAACAAGCCACAAGAGAACTCGCATTTTATAGTAAACAAAATAGGTTATATTTTAAAACGTATTAGGCTAAATAACACCCACCTTAGAAGAATAGACTGCCCTTGGGTTTTTACTGCAGCGGAGTAGCGCCACGTTCATGACTTGTGGGATGTTGGCGAACGAGGGGATCTTGTAGTTGCCCGGACCACGGGAAAGATGGATTCCCTCGGGGGAGACCTTGTAGTCTTCCAAAGCTACCAGGCCGTACCCCTGTATAATTGAAGAGGTCTTATTACATGTAAGAGTTTTACGACACTTGCAACAGAAATGGACCGTATTAGATCTGAAGATTGGAGGGGTAGCCTAGCAGAGTGTAAAATTCAAAGAAAAGAAGGAGGTGGAACGAGGGCGATACATTTTCATTTTTGACAGGAAAAAACAGCAAACTACTCCAGAGCGCCCGCCAGCCAACCGAATTAGGTTAGTATTCACTTAATTAATGACATGCTTACGTCATACGTCATTTGTAGATGAATAGAGGATGTCAGCTGTAAGTTCTACTTCTTCTACGCTGTTCTGATTCGTTTCGGTTTTCTGTGTGTAAACATTTTTATCTTTTCCATTCTTGGCCTGTTACGTTCATTTTTATTGGGCACACTTAGAGTTAGAGTCAAGAGTATACACGCATACACAAACAAACAAACAAACAAACAAACAAACAAACAAACACACACACACACACACACGCACGTTCAGTGGACTTGACTGACAGTCGGCACAACACGAATAAAGCTAGTAGTAAAGGCTGGAAACGGAAGAAAAAACGGATTAACTGAACTAAAATGGCCCCAATGTGGTATTGATATTGATATCAGAAATCACACCCAGCGATATATTTCCAATCAAAGACAGCTGAAAGACGACGGATAAACATGTTGTATGTATGACCGTTTGAGTTTACCTGCATAAAAGCACCCTCAATTTGGCCAACGTCAATGCCTGGGTTTAGGCTCTTCCCGACGTCCATGACAATGTCGGTCCGGAGAACCTGGACAGTCACAGAGACTGATTATAGTGCATGGCCGAATATACATGACATAGCGTGCTGGTACATTAAAAAAAAAAGAATAGAATCTATATAGATGATCGGTATGAGCCATAGGAAATAAGATGAAGATAGATATTATGTTGACAGGCAAACCCACAGGCAGAAAATAAGACAGCTATAGGCTAAAGATATAGCATGGTAGATAAAGAGCTTTAGTTTAGGTAGATTAAAAAAGAATATAATAATATTGTTAGACTGTTATATAAATAGATACGGTGGATCGGTTTAGTTTTAGTTTTAGTAAGAGTTTTACGGCACTTGCAACACAATAAGTTCATATAAGTGCCGAAGATTAGAGGCGTTACAAGAGAGTAACAAACACAAAAAAGAGGAGGAGAGAGACGGGCGATAACTGTTGACACGAAAGAAGGAGCAGACCACACCAGAGCGCCCGCCAACCACCCACGCGGTGGGTAGATTGACATACAGATACTTATACAGACATGACAATAGAGCCATATACGACAAAGAGATTGATACACATGTATTTATGAACAGATACATGTATAAAAATATAACAATGTTTAAAAAATATGATTCAGGCACTCACTATTGAAATGCACAAAACAAAATCTCAATTGCTGAACATTTTCCTAAGATTTTATCAGTCAAGTGGTAAAAAGAAAAGTTCAAGACTTCACGTGTAACAGCAGCTGAGGACAGTAACATTCAGTGTAGTACGAAGGTTACGAAGACAACCATATTTCCCTTTCCTCACTGTCTTCCCGTTACGTTATGGGACTTTAAAGGGATTTATGGTATCTGATATTCAAGATATCCAAGATCTCAACAGAAAAAAAAAATTGTATTGAGTCTATCAATTGGTTGGTAAATAAAACATTATTTTTACTTTATGAAAACTGTTTATTTGCAATATGGCGGCCGTTACCATGGCAACCGTAGACTTAAACAAAAAAATAAGGTTACATTTTAGAGATGTTTTCTGTTATACCTCCATGCTATAAGGCTTTAATAAAAAGGTCATAGTCACCGAGATAGGTTCATAAACCAGCCCCCCCCCACCCTTTTCCCTTAACGAGGCGCCTCGAAATATACACAACTATTCTACCAAACATCTCTTTCAGCACAATACCCAACTCTATTTGTAAGTGTGTTTGATGAGTCACTGATCATGAGTCTTACCAGGTGATCTCCGGTCAAGCAATCAATTTCCACTTCAGTGCAAGCAGCCCCAAAGGAGAAGTAGCTGAAAGGACTGTTTGTATTTTGGCTCCAGTCCAGACAGACGTTATCGAGCCTGCAAAACACAGAGCGATGTCCCAACGCTAAAAGATTTCCAACATGATTTAGACGTGTTAGAATCGCCCACATTTTGCTCGTTTTGTTTTTGCCGGGTCTAAACGTCCCACGATGCATCAGATACAGCATTTGGATGAAAGGCCAGCTCGGCTCCAAGACTTTTCGTGGATTAAATTTTTGCTTGACCCAACTCTTTGTTTTAGTAAGAGTTTTACGACACTTGCGACACCATTAGGTCATAATATAACTACCGATGATTAGAGGTGTTCTTGAGAGTAACAGTACACACACAAATACTCACACACATTCACACACACACACACACATGTGTGTGTGTGTGTGTGTGTGAGGAAGAGTTTAACGGCACTTGCAACACAATAAGCCATATTATAAGTGCCGAAGATTAAAGGTGTTACAAGAGAGTAACAAACATAAAAAAGAAGGTGGGGGGGATAGAGACGATAGATGTTTTATAGGAAAGAAGGAGCAAACCATATCAGAGCACCCACCAACCACCCACTTCGCGTGTTCGTAATGATACAAGGAACCAAATGAAAAACATCCCCACCCTCAAACAAAAACTATAGGAACAAAATGAACAACAGCCTCAAGAAACGGTTGTACCTCTATGTCGATTTCTTTTTTTCTAAAAAATTTTTTTTTTTTTTTACAGTTGAATAATTTATTTTACACAGTAGGTTCAAATCTTCACTCTTCCAAGCAAGGAGTATTGTCATGCTATCACGTAACTGCTTATTGACTATCCGAACCTGCGATTACTAGCTATAACCTTTTGTTTCTTTATAACTAATTTTGTAGCATATGTGGTGTGATCAGATTCTCTCAAACATTATCATTATCTCCAATTTCAGAATTATACTGAAAATCGAGCTTTATGCCCACACCCACCTTTCACTTTATGTTATTGTTTTGTACCTGTGTGTGTGTGTGTG